CCGCCCTTGCAGCTTCAGACACAGTCACCCAGCTGAGCCCATGGCCACCCCAGGCACAGACCAGACCTCAGCCTCCACCCTGCTCCTGGCACCCCTGCCCATGAGGTCCCGCATCACTGCCCAGCATCTGTGGCGCTCACGTACGTGGCTGGGGTGTGCCGACAAGGATGAAAAATGGCCTTTTTACCCTGACTCCGAGACAGTAGGTGATGGGAGGTGGCTCCCAGCCTGGGCCTCCTGCAGTGTGTTCACAGCTCCTTCTTTAGCTGAATTGCTTAATGGGGCAGGTGTACATCCCAGTGGGGCGTTTGCAGCAGGATGGAAGGTGAGCACCTTGTGCCCTTCTCTGTGGAGGCAGACGGATACCCATGCAGGCAGGCAAGGCGGCCACTCTCTTCCCCAAAGTTCTTCCAAGGCAGCACCAATGAGCAGAATGTTTACTAAGCTGGAGCTGATGGGACCCACAAGCGGCCACGGGAAGCACAGACGTGTCCTGTGAGCATGGCCAGTGCTCCTCGGCCACATGCATAAGGACAAGTGGCCCTGTGTTAGGTCACCTGGGTGCACACGTGCCATGTGCCCATTGGGACACTTGGCAGGACACCCTGGGGTAGAGCACCCATTGGGCAGGGTGCCCAGGTGCTCACGTGAGACAGGCCCGAGAGCACACCTTGACATGTCGCAGAACATGCACATACGTGACAGGCCAGCTGGGCTTGCACACAGGCATGAGTCATGAGAACAGGCCCAACGAAAACAGCCCACGTCAAGGATTTGTGCCTCCTGAAATTCCCTAGGTCCCAAGGTAGCCCAGAGTGTGGCCTCAGCACTGACTGTCTAGCAGCTCAGACCTTTCTGCCCCATGCTCAGGTGGGCTGCATAGAATGTTCCATGGCCTTCCACCCACACATGGACCCTGCTGATTTCTTTTGGCTTGCAGCTGCTCAGGCCTCTGCAGGCAGCAGTGCCCTTCAAGAGTGAGTCTCAAGCTGGTGAGAAGTCAGGTCCTCCTTGGTCCCCGGGCAGCTCTGTAGGCAGGACCTCTGTAGGTAGCATCCCAGACCGTGTGCCACAGCAAGAGCAGAAACCTGGCCCAGGGCCAGAGCACCAGGCCATGTGCCACCCCTCAACCCTCTCTGACCCCTGGATCGAGCGGTCACCTGAGTGGGAAGCTGGGGGGAGGCAGAAGCAGAGCTAGGGGTGGCTTTCAGTATCCTTCTCCACGGCAGGGCCCAGGGCAGCCTCTAAGCCCTCTCTGTCTCCATGGCATGAGAGGGTCCCCACAGTGAGCAGGAGGGACCCTGTCCCTGCTCCCTGCCTCTCTCCTCCCCACTCTCCGTGGGCACCTCCGGGCCAGGCCTAGGCCCAGGTGCTAGAGCATCTGATGGGAGAAGTGGACTCAGTGTCAAGGTCTCCCTGCCCAAGAATTTTTCATGCCTTTGTTAGAGAAATGGGAGACAGGCAGCCTCCACTAAACTCCACTGTGAAGCAGTAATTAATGTTCACACTGAGAGAAGAAAAAGGTCCATTTCTGTTGCTGCTCAGTGACTGTTGATTTGTGTCTCCCAATTCTGGAGGGTGACAAGCAGCCCCCACCCAAGCAAGTTGCTGCCCAGGTTTCTGGAAGAGGCCCAGGGATGGAGGCCAAGTTCCCCAGACCTCCTGTGCAGGTGCTCCTGGGGAAGCAGGGCACTGTCAGTGAGCGGTGTCTGTGTCTAGACCCTGTGGGGGTCTAGATGCCTCCAAGAGCTGTTCAGGTGATCTAAGGGAAGAGGCTGGGATGTAATGATGGTGAAGATGATGATGGTGGTGATGGTGGTGAGGATGATGAGGATGGTGGTGAGGAGGATGATGGTGGTGGTGATGGTGATGATGAGGATGGTGATGATGAGGAGGAGGATGGTGGTGATGATGAGGATGGTAGTGAGGATAGTGATGGTGGTAAGGATGATGATGGTGATGGTGGTGAGGATGATGATGGTGGTGATGGTGAGGTGATGGTGAGGATGATGATGGAGATGATGGTAGTGATGGTGAAGATGATGATGGTGATGATCGTAATGGTGAGGATGATGATGGTGATGGTGATGATGGTGATGGTAGTGATGAGGATCATGGTGATGGTGATGATGATGGTGGTGAGGATGGTGATGGTGATGGCGGTGAGGATGGTGAGGATGATGGTGGTGATGATGAGGAGGATGGTGGTGAGGATGATGATGGTGTTGATGATGGTGAGGATGGTGAAGATGATGGTGATGATCGTAATGGTAAGGATGATGATGGTGGTGATGGTGATGATGGTGATGGGGGTGATGATGGTGATGGCGGTGAGGATGGTGAGGATGATGATGGTGGTGATGAGGAGGATGGTGGTGAGGATGATGATGGTGTTGATGATGGTGAGGATGGTGAAGATGATGATGGTGATGATCATAATGGTGAGGATGATGATGGTGGTGATGGTGATGATGGTGATGGTAGTGATGAGGATCATGGTGATGGTGATGATGAGGATGGTGGTGAGGATGGTGATGGGGGTGATGATGATGGTGAGGATGATGATGGTGATGGCGGTGAGGATGGTGACGGTGATGATGAGGGTGGTGACGATGATGGTGATGGCGGTGAGGATGGTGAGGATGGTGGTGATGGTGAAGATGACGATGACGGTGGTGAGGATGGTGATGGTGGTGAGGATGATGACGGTAGCAGTGATGGTGATGAAGTGATCACCATGCTATATATCATGCCGAGTACATACCCAGCACTGTCCTAGTGCTTTGCATATATTATTCACTCATTGAAGCTGCACAATAATCCTATAGACAGGCTGTTGTCTGTGTTTTAAAGAAGCATAAACTGAGGCATGGAGAGGTCAAGGGGCTTGCCCAGGGCTGCCTGATGTGGGTGGCAGCACAGGTCCCAGTGGACGTCTGCTCCAGTTGCCCACGTTTTGGCCTCCCCACCATAGCTAGCACATCCCCTTGGGGCCTAGAGCCTGCCCTCTGCTCCATGGGCTCCCTGCTTGGACGCCCCCCACACACACACCAGCGTTACACCCACCAGGGCCACCCAGCCCAGCTCGACCCCGTGAAGGTCACCTCGCTCAGGCAGCTCCTGCAAGACAGATGTGGCTTTTTCCCTCCTTGCCCTGATTAATTGCCTCTTTCAGTTCCGACTCTATTGCAGTTAAACATTAATTCAGTAGGACTTAATAACGTGAATTCATTTACGACGTGGCCTGTGCTGGCTGACAAGGGTGTGCTGTTTGGTTAATTATAGGATCCATGCACGCTCGCTGGAAAGCACCCTCACCCTCCTTGAGTGTCGGGTCATTAAGTTCTCACTGTGACACCAAAAGCTGTGGGGAGAGGTGTGAAACAGCCCAGCCTGGGGGGTTCAGGGCACCCGGGCTGCGGTCCTGCCGCGCGCACACACAAGGCCCAACCCTCCGGGCGGTTTGATGGGACTGTGGTTTCCAAGGCAAGGGCTCAGTGCCGCTAATCGAGCAGGAAGAGGCCCAGCTGGGGGCCTCTGGCAGCTCCACCAGCAGCCTAGTCAGAAGGGCTCCTGGCCCCCACCCCTTCTCTGCCAGCACTGAGCCCCCGGCATGCCAGAGTGCAGTCCCAGCTCCGCAGGACAGGACGATGACACTCCCTGTGTTCCGGTGTGTCCCAGCCCTTCACCTCTCCAGTCCCGTCTCTCACACTCCCCTCCTCGCCTCGGGGTGCTCCTCCTCCTGAATTTCAGCCACTCTGCCCTCTCCCCGGCCCCCAGAGCTGCTCGTGAAGGACTGACCTGGCTTCTTGTCATTGTGCAGCCGGGGCACTGGGCCCATGCATCCCTTCTGCCATCTGTGCAGGGACACAACCCTGGAGGTCTCTGTCCAGGCTGTGCAGGGGGTCTGCGGGGCTTTGGGGGTGGGACGCTTGTTAGCCTCAGAAGAAACCCCCCCCACATGCCCATCCCCCAGGGTCACTCCCAGCTGCAGTGGGTGGCTGGTAAAGCACGGGGCCCATCCGTACAACCCTGTGAACTTTGCCATCAAGCGCACCCCGGCCCTCCCCCTGGGGCGCCAAGGGCAGAGCACCCCCCCCACGCTGACCAACTGGAGGGCACCACACAGACAGCAAGGTGCACGGCTGACGGGGGCCTGTCACCCTCACATGTGGCCCGGGAGATTTATTTTCAGCGGTAGATTCATTTGACACGACGTGTTGTAATTGTGGTTCCTAGGAAGGGATTATTTTTCTTTATATTCTTTTAGGGGAAAATTGCCGTGGTTTCTAGAAGAACAGTCTTTATTTTTAAAGCTCTGCCTACTGAAGATGGAAAACAAAAATTTGTTTGCACGATTACAAACCTTTCTCTAACCAGCTGAGCGAGCACGTCGAGTGGCTTACACCCAGGCTGCAGGGGCACGCGAGGCGACCCTCCCCATAGGCAGTGCCTGTGGCCTCAGGCCTGGGCTGACCCCCCCATCTGTCCGAGGGATCCAAGCCCCCTCTGCCCCTTCAATAGAGCTGGGCTGCTGAGGCTGGGCTTCCATATCCCTGCCCAGAGGACACCCTTGATCCCACCCCGGGCCCCCATCCATGCCCACCGCCCAGGAGTGCAAGCTCCTCACCTGTCACCTGGACCCGCCGCCTGGAGAGTCCAGCATGTGGGAGAGGCCTGAGGGGGTCACAGGGTAGCAGCTCTCCCAGGATGGGGTGACGCTGCCCCTCGTGTAGGCCGGGGTGAGGAGGAGGCTTAGTGGCTCACTCTGGCCCCGGTGTCTGTCCTGCAGTGGGTGCACCTGCCTGGCTGAGCATGCTTCTTTGCCTCACCTCTGCCTGGCCCGCCTCACAGAGCCCTTCACCGAGCATCTCGCTGGTGCTCTGACCTCCAGATCCCTCCCAGGCCCCCCAGGCCCCCTCGCCCGCGAGGCCCCCCTCCACAACCCTGCCACAGGGTGCTACGGGGCGCTGACTCTCCTCTATCTCTCTCCCCTGCAGTGTGACAGCGAGAGCGAAGGGGACGACAAGGTAAGCCCCCCACACCTCCTCCCGAGACCTCCACCCACGGGGGTGCAGGACAGGTGGCTTCCCCACACGTCCAGGCCCCGTCTCTGCCAGGGCTCCCTGGGATGGGGGGCACTGTGGGCAGAGCGGGGGCCCTACTCTGGGTAAGCCCCCCACTTTGCAGGCTGGGGCCGTAAACATCACCAGAGAACTGACTTCCACTAATAGCAGCAATGTGTTAGCTCCTCCTAATTACCCTCCTTTTCAGGAGCAATGCAGTTCCCGTTAACTCAGGATTTATGCACTTGGAGGGTTCAGCTCAGGAAAAACCACAGCACAGGCCTCCCTGGGGCCCTTGGCCCTGGTCATCTGCTGGCCACTGTGTGTCCTGTGGGGAGCAGGGAAGAGGCCGCCCCGAGCTCACAGCCCAGCACTGACTGTGCACCTACTGTGTGCTGAGCTCCGTGGAGGCAAACTGCAGCGGGGGCGAAGACCCTGAGAAGTGGCAGGAGTGACACAGCCGGGCCCAGGCCTGGCACTCACTCTCTGCTTGTCCTGAGGCCCCGGGGGGCAGGAACTGTGAGCCCCCCGATGCATCCAAGGACCCCAAGGCATAGAGAGGGTGAGGAGCCTGCCCGAGCTCACACAGCTGGCCCCCACAGTCCTCTGGGGTATGTGACCCGCGTAGCTGGGAAGAGTGGTAGCTGGTGGTGAGGCTGCAGGCGATGAGCACGCCGAGGGGAGGTGCCGAGTGGGTGAGGAGGACGAGTGTCCAGGCCAGGGGACAGCATGTTCCCCCATGCTTGTCGGGAGGCGGGTCCACTGCACACTGGCTTCTAGGTCAGTTTTGTGGAATGGAGCGAAGTCCCATTGGGAGGTCTGTGCGCACACAACCGTGCTCCTCGCTCACCTGCTGTGTCCTGGCCTGCGTTGGGCAGGTGCTGTCCAAGGTGTGGACAGCCAGACGGCCCCTCTCGGCAGACATACGTGAGCAAGCATGGAAAGACAGGCCTGCGGAGGATGCCCGGGGGTCCAGGTGACCAGCCTCAGAGCCTCGGGAGGGGTGGGGATAGGAAGGGCCAGGGGTCATCCGTGGCGGGGGAACAGTGGTGTGGATGGGTGAGGCCTGAGCCCCCGGGTGTGCAAGGGAAGAGTCCCTGCCCTGGATTCTTAGGAGGGCCAGAGTCTGAGTCCCAGAGCCCCCTGCCCGGAGGGACTGGCTAGGGTCTCTGTTGGGGCTCACTCCTCTGCTGTGCCAGGTGCAGCCACTTGGCCCAGACCCCCCTTCAGGCTGCCACTGGGGCTTGTGGCTGTGGGTCCTGGGAAGGAAGGCAGTGGCCAGAGTCAGCCTTCCCCATACCTGTGTGCTGGGCCCCAGCCATGGCCACAGTGAGCGGTCTGCGTGGGTGATGGGGTAGCCCAGCTCCATCTCAGGGCAGGTGGGAGGCCAGACCACCCCCATCCACAGCTTTAGTGAGGCCAGGGCCAGAGGAGAAAGCAGAACCGCCTCCACGCCCCAGTGTCCCCACCTGTTCCACGGGAGATGGAGACATGTCTTCCGAGCCACAGTGGGCTCTGAGTCAGTTAATACGGAGTGAGTAAGCCACAGGCAGCTCCCGTTTGTGGGTGGATAGAGCCGGAGGGTGCTCCAGAAAGCCCCTGTGCTGGAGAGAGCCAGGAAGGGGCACAGGCCTCCTCCCTGGTCACCCAGGTTTGCCCTCCCACGAGTGCCTGGGTCTTCTGTGACACTGGGGTGTATCTCTGGGCGGCTAGGGATGGAGGCCAGAGGCCAGGCTGAGACCCCATGCAATTGACCATGGGTCAGCATGGGCTGGCCAGGTGGGCACTCGGGCTGAGCCCCAAAGCTGCGTGATTGTGGGGAGGTGTCAGGGCTTCCCGGAGAGGCTGCCTGGGGCAAGGGCTCCCTGCCGGATAATTTGCCAACCACCACCGATGGGTCGTGCCTGGTCAGCACTGGCTGGGTCATGGTGCCGCACCAGGCTCTGTGTGGCCGCCTGGGCTGCCCCCCCGCCCCCCACCCTCCCCCCGGCCCTCCGTACCTCTCATCTGGGCACACACAGCCTCTCCGCTCATCTGCTCACAAGTCTGCCCCCGCCAGATGCAGAGACCCATACTGCCCGCACAGCCAACTCCCAGCCCTCAGTCCTGCCGTCCAAGGACGGACGCCAGCTCTCGGCCACACGGCCCCACGCTGGTTAGAACCTGCGTTTGACTGCTGTAGTGGAAACTGGAGTTAGCAGTGGCTTAATAGAGGGTTTGTATTTCTCACCGAGAAGCCCAGCTGTGGGCCCTCCAGGCTGGCACGGCCTGTGCGTGGTCATCAGGCTCCTGTCTGCTTGGCCGTCCTTGGTATGTGGCTGCCCCCCCACCCCCTTGGCCCATGAAGGCAGCTGTAGCACCAGCCACCCCATCTGCATCTCACCTCCCCACACCACTGCTCATGCAGAGTGAGTGATCACCTGTGCGGCGAGCCAGGGAGAACGTTGGTGCGAAATGTCCCATGGGGGCCAGAGCAGAGGGAGAGAGCATGAGGTCAGAGAGGCCACATTATGTAAACCGTAGCAGGAAGCTCAGGTTTGTTCCAAGTGCAGTGGGGAACCGCTGTCCCAAGAGGTCCCTGTCCCTCCGGGCTGCATGGGGACACTAATTACACACCGTGTGAGGTTGGACAGCAAGAGAGACCTGAGTTCCTTCTGCCTCCCTCTAGCCAGGCTGGGTTCCAGGGCTTCCTCCCAGCCCATCAGGAAGCAGGTGCAGCTCCGAGGGGTGCAGTGCCCGCTCATCCAGAGCCGCCAGCCTTCCTGTCCTCCCCCACCCCAGTCCAACTGACCTGCCGTGGGGCCAGCCCCCTCCCAGGAGCCTCTGCCCTCTGCAGCTCCCCACCACCTTTCTCCAGGGATACAGCCAGGTGAGGTCTTTTGCCCCTTCCAGAAGGAGCTGCTCAGGGGAGGAAGGCCACGTGTCTCCACAGTGTTTGCAGGATGGCAAAAGCCCTGATTTTATAGAGCTAGAAGAACATGGGAATGGGAGAAAGAGGCATCCCCCTGCAGCATGCCCTCCCCTGGGGCCCAGCCACCGTCCCCCCACAGCATGCCCTCCCCTGGGACCCGGCCACCGTCCCCCCGCAGCATGCCCTCCCCTGGGGCCCATCCCCCCACAGCATGCCCTCCCCTGGGGCCTGTCCCCCCACAGCATGCCCTCCTCTGGGGCCCAGCCACATTCCCCTGCAGCATGCCCTCCCCTGGGGCCCGTCTCCCCGCAGCATGTCCTCCCCTGGGGCCCGGCCACTATCCCCCCGCAGCATGCCCTCCCCTGGGGCCTGTCCCCCCACAGCATGCCCTCCCCTGGGGCCCAGCCACCATCCCCATGCAGCATGCCCTCACCTGGGGCCCGTCCCCCTGCAGCACCCCCTCCCCTGGGGCCCGTCCCCCTGCAGCACCCCCTCCCCTGGGGCCCGTCCCCCCCCCCCCCCGCAGCATGCCCTCCCCTGGGGCCTGTCCCCCCACAGCATGCCCTCCCCTGGGGCCCGGCCACCATCCCCCCACAGCATGCCCTCACCTGGGGCCCGTCCCCCTGCAGCACGCCCTCCCCTGGGGCCCGGCCATAGGGTGCCTCCCAGACCATCACTCAGCCCTGGGGCACCCGTGTGCTACACAGAGGTGGAAGGAGCTCCCCTTGCCCCACTCCTGGCTGCACAGTGGGCTGGAGACAGCAGGGCTGCTCTGGACCTGTGGTGAGGCAGCTGGACGTGCAGGTTGGGCAGCTCAGGGCCCTGGGTCTGGGCGCTGGGGAAATCGTGGGAGGCAGGCCGTCCCCAGGGAGGCCTCCCCCCGGACAGGGCAGCAGGAAGACCCAGGCCCCCTCTCTTCCAGCCAGTGTGCTCCTCCCAGACCTGCTAGGGTCTGAGGTCAGATGCCCCTGCAGCCCACCCACCCCTCGCCCACTGGCCTTGGGCTATGACACACCGGGAATGGTCCACGTCCAAGACATGGGCACCCGGAGACCAGCAGAGCCTCTGTCTACCTTGCAGCCGGCCCGGAGGCTGGTGTGTAGACAGACAGACAGACAGGAAGACCTCTGTCGCAGCCCCTCCTGAAAGAGCAGGCTCCACCCGTGGGTGCCCCATGCTGGCTCTGCAGGCCCCCCAGCCTGGCCCGCCCACCCCCCAGCCCTGCTCTGGGCGCCGGCTGCTGGTGGGGAAGGCAGCCGTGCTGCCAGAAGGCTCAGGAGCCAGGCAGCCAGATGGCCCCTCCACAAGGCTGTGGTTGGTGTCTAACTGCTTTTTTATTGGGAAAATATGGGGTGAAAGATTGTGTGGGGCTCGTTAGGCAGCCTCCTGGGCCTGGACTGGCCGCCATCTGCCCCAGTGGCCCAACCAGGTGGCTGCTGGGCTAGTCCTCCTGCTTGCTGCCTGTGGCCACTGCGCTCTCTCAAGGGATGTGGGTCTGGCCGGCCCGTCTGTCAGACCCCCTGCGAGGATGAACCCCCAGCGCTGGGCCTCTGCCGGCTCCCGAGCAGCAGGACCAGGAACGGGGCCGGCAGGCAGCTGGCCAGCCGGGAGGGGCCGGGGTCCCCCGAGGGCACCAGCACACTTCCACGGCCGGCCCATACCCTCTGGACTTCACTTTTCTCTCTGCTAAATGGGGGTCCTGGGGGGGCCTGTGGTCTGGGGTGGAGGCGAGAATGCCAGCCACTGGAGTGAGCATCTGGACCCTAGGAAGCAGGTTTGGGGCTGCCTGAAATGAGGTGAGTGGGCAGTCGCTCCTCCCCCGGCCAGCCTTGCCCCGTCTGTGTCCTGTCCCTACAGTGGATACACACTCAGGCCCAGGCTCCCCAATGCCTGACTGGGGTCCTCCCCGCACCTGTTTTCTCTCTGAAATGAGAGGTCCACCTCCTAGATCCCTGGGACCTGCGAGGAGAGGGCACAGCAGAGCACACGGCAGCCCAGGGCTGGAGCTCCCTGCCCTCCAGCCAGTAACCCTTCAGTTGCTGGACCATGTAGGATCCGGGGTCAAGGAGGGCTGATGCCAGGGCAGCGCCCAGTGTGTGTCCTAGGAGGCTGGGGCCTTCTGAGGACGTGCCCTGCACCCCATCCCTGCAGGAGCTCCCTGCTCAGTGGGCTTCCCCCACGTGTCTCTCCTGGACCCACTCCTGGGAACACCTGCTCAGAAGTCTGTGGGAGGCTCTCCTGTCCCCTCACCCGATGTCCTGCCTCTGCAGGTCAGTTGCTGTGGGGACGATGGTGCAGGGAGCTCCTTAGAGAGGTACAGGCCAGGTGCAGGGAAAGCCTCGTGGGCATGTGGGGGCAATGAAGCCAACCACCCTCTGAGCCATGAGCTTTGGCCTAGGGATGCTGAGCCCAGAGAGTGTCTTCCCATGGGTCTGTCCAAGGCAGGGCCTCGGACCATTGCATGCCGAGGGTCCAGATAGGCGCTGGGTGTGGCAGGTGGGTCCCAGTGAGGACCATCAGCTCACTTGGCCCCCGATAACCCTCCAGAGTGGCAGCTGTCCTGCATCCTGTTCCGAGCACGGCTCCCCAGGTTGTGGCATCCCAGCAGACGGGGTGCAGGGGTGGGGGGTGGGATTAGCACCTACTGTGATAAATTGTCACAAACTCGGTGGCTTAAAACAGTTCAAGTTTTATAGTTCTGGAGGTCACAAGTCTGAAATGGGTGTCATGGGGCCCAAATCAAGGTGTCAGCCTCGCTGGTTCCTTCGGGAGGCTCCAGGGAGAACACAGTTGCTTACCTTTCCAGCTTCCTGGGCTCTGACCCCGACTCTCCTCCTCCCTCTTGTAGGGACACTTATGGTCACATTGGGTCCACTGGGGCCCTCCAGGCTCACCACCTCCTCACCAGCTCCTTCACCATAACTGTAAATCCCTGGGCCCCTTAGGGTGATGGACATATTCTCAGGTTCTGAGGATTCGGACATGGATGTCGTGGGGACCACTGTTCTCCTGCTGTGGCAGGGGGCTAATGTCTGGGTCTCAGGCCATGGCACATGGTGGACAGTGCTTTCTAGGACCAGGGGCCCAGAGGAAGCAGGTCAGGGTGAGGGAGGTGAGAGAGACCAGGATGCTTTGGGCTGCAAGTGACCAACAGTCACCTCACAGGAGCCGGAGTGAAACGGAGCCTGGGGACAGCAGGCAGGAGGGGACGATGGGTTTCCCTCGTGCTGGGATCCTGCCGCCGCAGGGCGCCGCGGGGCCCCACTGATCTGGGCCAGCCTCCCCCTCCCCCTCGAGAGCGTGTTCGCATGGCCTTGCCTCCGTGAGTGCGCACAGCTCCAGCTGGAGCCGGCCGGGGCACATGTAGACGCTCCACAGGGAGAGGAAGTCGGGGGGCGGGGGGGGTGCTGTGTTCAGCAGGAAGCAGAGGTGCTGGGGTCATGGCCTGCATGCAGGGCAGGACTGACTGCCCCTTTCCAGCTCAGTGACACCCCAGATGGGGGGCCTCTGTCCCTTCCAGAGCTAGCTGCGCGGCCCCCATGCCTGACTGGGGTGGGGGGCTTACAGAGAGGCCGTCTGTCTGTTGGGCTGCTCCCCCTGTGGCTGGAGGGGTCACAGCCCCTCAGACCCCCCCTGCCTGGCAGACCTCATAGGCCTCGCTGGGCTGGGGGCTTCCAGCCTGGTGAAGGCTTGTGGGTGGGTGGTCCTTACCTCCAGGGCAGGTGGGGGCACGGTGGGAACCCCAGGGTCTTTCAGGGCCAGGTGTATGCTGAGCACACACATAAGCAGGCCAGATGCTCTCGGATGCAGTGAGGGCCTGAAGACAAGAGGGATGGGTGGGGCATGGGTCCGTGGGGGTCGAGACACCCCCCCCGACTCCCAGGTGCCCACCTCCCTCCCTGCTCCACCAGCTCAGTGCCACAGCCTCAGGTGGTCCGAGCCCCCACAGCCACCCTGGCCCCACCACAGGCTTCCGCCCCTTGGGGGTCCCCCCCGCAGGACCTGGGGTGACTGTCCCACTCAGCCCCATCCCACCCCTTCCCCATCCCCAGAGGGGAAGGGCTGAGAGCCAGGCCTGCCCGCCACCTCCATAAGAGTACTGGGCCACCGCGGGAGCCTTAGCGAGACATGCCTTCCCGCCCGCACACGCGTGCGTTCACACCACACAGTGCCGTTACACGGATAGATGCTCTGTGTGCACACACCTGCACGTTCACGGGCACCCCTCAGCCCTGTCCTCAGAAAGCCCAGGGGGCTCATGGCTTCTGCTTCGGACTCCAGCTGAGGATACCTCACCCCCGGGACGGGCTGGCAGGGGGCCTGCCCTGCCTCACTGGACTCCAGCGCAGGTCAGACCATTTACACAACAGGAACGTATTCCGCCATGGTTCTGGGGCCTCGAGGGGAGGGTCCTTCCTGCCTCGTCCGCCTCGTCCAGGTGTCCCTGGCTTGTGGCTGCATCCCCCGTCTCTGCCATTGTCATGTGGCTTCTCTCTGACTCCTCCTAGAGGGACAGAGTCCTTGGGTTTAGGGCCACTCTGATCTAGGATGATTTCAAGATCCTTGTCTCTCTCCCTCTCCCTCTCTCTGTCTCTCTTTTGCGAGAGGGAGGGGGAGAGAGAATCCCAGACAGGCTCCACACCCAGCGCAGAGCTGGGCGCAGAGATCATGACATGAGCCGAAATCAGGCAACCTGAGATCCTTATGTTCGTCACCCCTGCAGAGACCCTAATCCCACATATGGTCACATTCTGAGGTTCCGGGAGGACATGTCTTCTGGGGCCACCACTCAGCCAGTGCGTCAGGCTGCGCCATCCTGCTCGTGTCCACCTCCATGTGGCTGCCACGAGCCACATGGCTGCCACGGTCACGGCATTGAGGACGGCAGATGGCCTGGGGCCTCCTCCCCTGGGACCGGCAGCCTTCAGAGCCCTCTAGCCCAGCTCAGCATCCTGGAA